CTTCTGCTTTTCCTGCTGAGCTCCTCATGTCCACATGCAGACAGCAAGAGTGAACCTTCACACAGCAAACATTTTCCATCCTTAAAATAGCAGTGTGCACAGCTGATGTGAGCACACTGATCAGACCTTACGAACTTGCTGATGGGTTAAAGCCAAGGAAAGCTATAGGAATGGGACTGCATTGAGTTTGGATTATTGGGAGCTCTCTGCTAATCACACCCCCATGAACCCTTGCAGAGCCAAAGCCCTCCAGCTGTTTGACAGGAGTTTACTTAAGAAGATGCAGAATCTCCTACACGTTAGCCAGAATATTACTTAATGTCTCCAGGAGTGGGGGTTTCTTTTTGTTTTGAGCTTAAGTAATCTCTCTGCCTTTCTATGGCAGCTACCAGGTGTTTTTTTTTCCTGCTGCAAGTACCAGCTTCCACCCTGCCTTTCAAATGCAACCGCACTGAGTAATGGAATGGGTTAATTCCAGTATTTATGTGGGCAGGTGCTCCATCTTGTTTGCCTTTGTTTTAAAGGAATGGTCGACAGCACAGGGTGAGAGAGCAAAGCCCAGCTTTGTTTCTGGTCTTACTGCTGGTGCTTACATGTTGAATAGGGGAACATGTCCCAGTGGAAAGATGTGAATGGCAGTGCAGGGTCTGCCATCTCCTTGGGTGGACGCACATGTGCGTGGTGAGACCAGGCATGAGATCTGCAATGACTCTTGTCTGATGGCTGTGCTCTTGGCACTGGGGTTTGGATGCTGACCACAAAGCTCCCTGTGCTGTTTCTGCAGCAATACATGGCAGTGCAGCAGCCCCAGCCTCCTCTGCCTGCTCACATGTGCTTGCTGAAACCATTGTGTTCTCTGGTCACAGAGAAACGGTCAACTGTGTTCTGAGATAAAAGGAATGGACTTAATACAGTCAAAAAGATTTGAAAACAGCATTGAAAAGCACACTAGTTCTGGATTCAGCAGGATGGAGATAAAGGCAAATTTTCTGATCTTGAAAAAAACAGTGAAGAGAAACCAGAAACTTAGATTGTCTGTCATTGAAATGAGTTTCTGAGTGCAGAGAGCAAATCAGATAAAAACATCAGGACTTTTAACACTGGAAATAGGAATGATCGAGAGCCACTTTGCTGGTGATACAGTATTTGGCGTACAGAAGTGCAAGGAAGCACCTTTCTGCAGCACATATCTCATGGTGGAGCTCCTCTGCAGAGTGCATTCTGCATGCCAGAGTTTAAGTGGAACGGCAGAGCCATTAGGAAAATTAATCAAAGAAAAATCCTTTGGGGTGAAATCAGAAAGGTTTGTGTTTACCCTGCCATACAGATGAGTGCGTGCATTTATACGCGCTGGTTTTTAAGCAAAGCTTGTTATCTGACTGTATTTTTCCTCCCCAGCCCTTTGAGTGTTTGTTGTCTTTTGGCAGTCTTGAAAGAGTAGAAGCTGTGCTGCTGTGGTTGTGCAGTGCCTGGTGGAGGCCTGGCTCAGTATCCGAGTGTTGCAACGTATGTACTAAATAACCCGGCCCATCTAGATCCCATCTAGATATAAATATAATGCCTGATAATTCACATCAGGAGCCATTACAGTGAACATAAAAGGAGGCTTGAGTGTTGAAAGCTTTGAATGAAAGTAGCTTTAATCAATAGTATTTATGTGCTAAATAATTGCTCAGAGAAAAGAACGTCCATCAAACTCTGTCTTTTTGTCCCTCTCCCTATTCAGTCTCTTTTCTCCACTCATTCAGAGCCGGTTCCCTCCTAACTGGCACTCTGCTTCCTCTTCTCACCGTTATTTTGGATGTCAGTCTTTTTGTAGTTGTTGTGTCCGAGGTGCCAGATGTGCTGACAGTTCAGCATGGCTAATATTTTCATAGAATCACAGAATCCATAGGGTTGGAAGAGACCCCCACAGGTCACCTAGTCCAACTGCCCTACTCCAAACAGGGACATCCACAGCTCCATCAGGTTGCCCACAGCCTTTTCCAGCCTTGCCTTATAAGTCAGATATTTTCATACGTGATAAGGAGAATTTTAGCTTGTGTGCCATCAGGTAGATCAGCAAGATGGTCACATGTAACTTCACCCATGTAAGTTTCACTGATACTAAATGATTACACAGCAAAGCCTGTGGACCTCAGCTTTTAAGGCTTTGGGTGATGGTTATGTATATGTGTTTATATATGTGACCTGGAGTGCATGGGAAAAGGAGAGGTGAGGAAAAGGCTGGACGCATCCATAGAGCTGTCAGAATTTTTGTTAGGTTACTGTGCTCTTCTGCATCATCAGACTCTCATTACCATCAGTATTTTGGTACTGTTCAGGTTTCATTTGGACAGGAAGAATTTCATTTAGAAGGCTGCAGGAAATGAATTAATATGGCATATTCAAACCAGTTTAGTTTGGACTGAATGGAAGTGTTGGCGTCAACATTGAGTGGATGTATGTAAAGACCACTGGTAATTTCATGCACATCATTTTTCTTTAATGATTCCTTGTATTTCTGCAGACAAAAGGAAGCTTTCAGTTTCAGCTTTCATCCTTAAAGCAGGATGGAAATACAAGAAAGAATTTCACATGGGGCTTGCATTCATAGGTCAGAATAACAAGGCAGTGTCTTTTTTGCAGGCTGCTAGCAATAAAAGGACAGTTGCATGTGGTGAAAACAGTATGTTCTGGACTTGGTGCCAGTAGAGAAAAAGAGACAAACCCACACAAGTGTTGATTTTGCAGATTGATAAGAATCTTTGGTTGGTGTAGGCTGCTAGCAAGAGTACAGATGAAAGTTTCCCAATGTATTAATTACTTACACCTAATGGTAATAGTGTGAACTGGTGAAGTAGTGAGGTTGGGAAGGCGTGTAGCACCTTCCTTTTGCTTCCTAGGTTTTCTTCTGAAAAACATCCACATCTCTCCGATGACATCTTTGCTTTGCCAGCTCTGTCCAAATTTTTATCAAACACTCCATTTGTCTTCAGGAACAGAATGTTATTTTCCCTGATAATGTTAACCAGACTTGTGGTAAGGCCAGACACAGTGGCATTCAAAACAAGTCGTAATTAATCTGAACCACCTTATTTTTCAGATGGCACCTGGTGCTGTGGACAGAAAACCACCCGTGTGCTTTATTACATAGTTTAGGTACAAGCAAAAATGTACATATGAAGTACTTTACATACGTATGAATAGAAAGAGGCATCTAACAATCTATTCAGAGCAGAGCATTAAATTCTGATTTCATCAGAAATAAATTGGAGGGGCTGGCTGCTCCGTATGTCAGTGATAAGTATTTTTCCTTAGACGTTATTACATTTGATAATCTGTTCTTTGTGATGATACATCACCGTTGCACAATCTAACATTTGCTCCATACTGTCATAATTCATTGCAACGAAATTACATCTGACAGCAGTGGTATGACCCAACCTGAAGGTCGTATTGAAAAACTGCTCTGTGTGTTGGAGCTGCTTTTATGGTAGGTTTTATTGCGTATCTTCTTGGCTTACAGCCTGGTGAAATGCGGGCTGACGGCGTGTACCAGTTGTTAGAGGGAAAGCTGCTGATTGCTTGGGGTTCAATACGAAGAGTGCTCGTCTGTTGGACTTCTGTCACTTAGCTGACTAAAGGGATTATGGAAAACAGGACTTTATGACTTCGTTTATGCCATAAAGCTCCATTTCGAAGGCATTTTGTGTGGGATAAATCATATACTTGATTGCCTTTTTCTCATGTTTGCCATCCTGGTGATGTGTGAAGCAGTGGGAAGATGCTGTAATGCTCTAGAGCCGGAGAAGCGAAGTGTTCCTAAGTGAGGAAGCTTTGTGTTTTACTCTACTAAGAGCAAACACAGAAATCAAACGGCCTCTGTCAGTGAACACTGGTTGTTTTTCCCAATTCCTACTGATGTTGTCAACGTTTGTACTGGGAATCCTGCTTTCATTTGGGATGAGCATCTCGCCCTCTGTCATGTGTTGCATCCCATCCTCCATTAGTGGTTGGTCATCCCTCTGAGCTCTGTTCCAGCTCCTTGTTAGTCTCATATCCACTAACTTTTGGCATTGCCAAGGATTTGTTTACACTGAGGGCTTGGTATCTCTTAAGGTGAATAGTTTTTGCTCCCCTCACAGTGAGACACTGTGGCAAATTCAAAATTCTCCTGCAGATGTACATACAGAGTAGTGTGTGCACACAGAGAAGTTAGGTGTAGCTCTGGCAGTGATTAAAATTAAAAGATATTGCCCTGCTAATGACCTCATCCTTGACTAGAAGGGAAGATGCACTGGGGAGATGACTAATGATTCATTTATTATCTTTGTGCTGGGACTATTCCTTGGTAAGCTGTGTTTTTAGGAAATAATATAGAATGCTGGCCAGTAAATTTGAGGGGAAAACAAAATTCTGATTGGGATCTCTGGCTACGTTTTGAGTGATTGTTATTACTTAAAATACTGTTTTTGTAAGTGATCAGATAAGGTACTGACCACTATTGAGTACAACTCCTTAAATTTATAATCTTGCTTAGGCTTGTTTTAATCTGATGCTTGTGGGGAGAAATGTGGTTCAAAGCTGCTGGCTTGTTGGGATTAGCTATACTTTGAGAATGCTACGGGGTTGCAGTAATTCATTTTTAGGGAATGACTAACTTGATAAAAAATGAGAGCACTGAATACGGTGAATGCAGCGTGCTTTCAGCTGTTGGCTTCTAACACGAGACACTTCTGAAAGGTGTGTGAGAGTGAATTAGACATTTGGACTAATTGCACAGGGTTCCTTCTGTAGAACAGGATGTTAATGGTCTCTGCTTTGCTCGCTGTTGATGCAGCTTTGAGAATTAACTTTTTATCCACAGCAAGTACTGTGAGCCTATCGGTCATTCTAGATCTGAAAGAAGCTTATGGAGACTACAGAGAAAACAGGAAGAACTTAAATGTCGGCTGCTACCTGAACCTGACTCTTTCATTCCTGGTCACGATAACAATTTCCACAATCTCTGTTTCTAGAGGATTACCCCAACGGGACGTGGCTTGGAGATGAAAATAACCCTGAGATGCGGGTCCGTTGCCCCATCACCCCTGCTGACATGCTGCACATCAGCACCAACTGCCGCACGGCCGAGAAGATGGCGCTGACGTTGCTCGATTATCTCTTCCATCGGGAAATTCAGGCCATCTCCAACCTTTCAGGCCAGGGGAAGCATGGCAAGAAGCAGCTCGATCCTCTCATGATATACGGAATCCGCTGTGAGTACAGTACTGAAAGTTCCAGGTTTATTCTGCATTGATAGGACAGCAACTGTGGGCCTCTTCCAGTTGCGCTACGTGAGAATGGAGCGTGTTGCCAGACAAATGGTTTTTCAGCTGTTGTTTATGAAGGAATCCTAATGGACTGCTTTAAGTTAGCTTGTTGTGGGCCAGAAATGCCTCAGTATCAAAATCTGAATTCAGATTTAATTGCAGCTAGCAGCTGCAAGCACACCAAGTGTAGCAAATAGTCTTTGGCTAAATTGAAAGAGATCATAAAAGGAAACGAGTTATTTATTTAGTTATTCATAGAACCATAGAACCTCTTCAATTGGAAGGGACCCTGACAGGTCATCTAGTCCAACTCCCTGCAGTGAACAGGGGCATTTAAATACTGCTCATGCGTTCAAAATAATAGCCTTTCATCTCAGGTTTTTACTTTTCATTTGTGTGTATTATTTCAGAAGTCACTCTGATGTTGAGATGGAAAAAAATTGCCATCTCTTTTGAAGAGAGATTAAGTGTCACAAAGTCTGTGGCTTCACAGCAAGAATGTTGATGTACTGCTGGCTGCTGCAGTGTGTGTGAATCTTTTTGGTAATTAAAGCTATCTGTTTGTTACTGCATATATTACTTATATTGCAGATGGAGCTTTTGGCAGTGTGAAAGGTATTAAAAATGTTTTGCATACAGAATATAGTAAGCATAGCCCCTAGTTAGGAGTGAAAAAGAATCTGAATATATGCATCTCACTCTGATACAGTGGCTTCTAGTAGGGGATTACTTGGTGAATACATTAATGAGGACAGCCAAGTCTCTTCCTCGTGCTGTGGTGTAAATATTTTACTGCAAAGGAAGTAGGTGAAGGCCTGAAAGCCTTGCAGACATGCATCTGATACAGTGCTTCAGCTCTTGTGTGATGCCTTTCTACGTATGTTGTGTAAAGGGAGGAAAGCTTTAAACATGAGTGTAGAATTGAGTGTGTCTGAAAATGACCAGCTTGACTCACTGAACCAGATCTCACTCTTTATAGCCAGATCTTATGTAGGTCATCCATGGATTAGTAGGGAAGGAATAATTTGTTACACTACAATGTTTTGTATGCCATTGCCAATTTGAAATGCCAATTAAGGCTTAAGAATGTAGCCAGACAGAGCTTATTTCCATTGCTGTTTGAAGAATTTGATGTTTTGTTTTTATGCTTTTGTTAAGGCAATGGGTTTAATAGTTACACAGAAAAGTGTTTGATGATGATACTGCTCTGCTTTCTGTTTTCTAAACTGAGCCAAGAAATAAACTCCTATTGACCTGTTTTTATTTCTAGTAGTTTACTGGCTATCTCAGGGAATGTAATAGGCAATAACCATTCAGTTTGCTGCATTAGGCCAATTGTCTTTTTGTGTACCTGAAGCAGATGTCAGGCTTGTACTGCAATCACATTAAATGTGTATTTGTAGAGGAGATTATGATCCAAAGGAATTTGGATCTCCTAAATTTTATCTATTGATCTCATCAGTGCAAATGACTGCGTTACATTGTTCTTAAACCTAGACAGGTTTGAAAAGGTGGATGTTGGGAAGGAATGTGTGAGCTAATGCTAGGGGCACGTCATTTCTGTGAGGCATTGTGATCCTTAAGAAATGGGATGGTTGAGGTGATCTCTGCATGTGGGAAAGGTTTGCAGTGGCAGGAGTACAACCAACAGCAGGCCATAAGCAGCAGCATTCTGAGTGATGGACATAGGAGCTGCTGGGTTTGTGTCTTTTGTGCCATAAGCACAGTTCTGAAAGTTCCTTCTGCACATTGACTGGTGCACTGCTTTCTTTTGGGAGCCAATATGTAACCAACTGGAGGCTGTGTGCCTTTGGAAACAACTGTGCCCTGCATGAACCTGCCCACAGTTTGTTGTTTTGGGTGCCTGGATGTTAATGGCTGTTGAGATTTGCATCTATAGTGACAACTGGAGAGAATTCATGTAAACTTTATGAAGCAATAAATTTACTAGGAACAACGCTGGCCCACAAACAATGATTTCGTGTTATTTTATCACTACCAATAATTCATTTAAAATGCGATTCGGTTTCGGGAGGCAGATTATGAATTTGCTGTGATGTGAGAGAGCATATGGATAAATGCCTCATAACATTTAAGGATGAGGTTCTGGCTGCGTTGTACAACTCCTGTTGAGTTCAGCTGTGCCAGGATTTCATCCATTTCATCCTTCCATTTGTCAGAGGGGCGGTGAGAAGAGCCCCGGCACGCCGTGCCTGCTTGGCAGTGCTACTGCAGAGCCCATCTGGTTCTTATTGGTGATGTTATTGATGACAGGCTGAGGGAGCTGGGCTTGTTCAGCCTGGAGAAGAGAAGGCTGTGGGGTGACCTCATGGCAGCCTTTCAGGACCTAAAGGGAGCCTACAAACGGGAGGGGAGTCAACTCTTTGAAAGGGGAGATAACAGCAGGACAAGGGGAAATGGTTTCAAGTTGAGGGAAGAAAGAATTAGGTTGGGTATTGGGGAAGTTCTAGCTGCCCAGAGAGGCTGTGATGCCCTGTCCATCCCTGGAGGTGTTCAAGGCCAGCTTGGATGGGGCCCTGGGCAGCCTGGGCTGCTATGAAATGGGAAGGTTGTCGGCCCTGCCTGTGGCAGAGAGTGAGTAGGAGCTTCACGATCCTTGGGGTCCCTTCCAACCCAAACCATTCTATGATTCCATGATTCTGTGATGTGTTGCTCCATAAATCCTACCAAAAACTGAGGGCAGTGCTGGCATGGGAACCAAATTATGTTGTTGTCCTGACTGTGTGGTTTGCTTGTGCTCTGAGCAGTACTACTTTGATGCGTTGTTTTAAACTTAAATGAAAATCTAATCCTAATCCTAGCTAGCAGTGCTCAAGCCAGTGCATAAAGGATTATATCTTCTCTTTTGTTTCAGGTTTCTTTAAGTTTTGCCAGTGGAAAGCTATTTCTTCCTTTCTCTTTTTCTAGAAGAGAAAGAAGACATCCAGATCTATATTTAATAGAAAGTATTTTGACTAATGTGCAGAAGCTATAGAGAATGAATGGATGCATGTCTATGAAAAATTCTTGGTGTGCTGCATAAGGTTCACCACAGGGAGATGAAAGTTTATCTTTGGAAGTATACATTTTCATTTGTGGTATAAAATGTGCTTGTGGGGTGGCAGCAGTAGTGAGGAAAGTTTTTAGGCAAGGAACCAAAATGACTTAAAGGCACTCTGTGTCATTAAGTAGCTCATTACTTCAGCCCTACTGAAAACAGACATTTTCTCATGAAATACAAGGACACCAGCAGTTCTGATTTTCAGTATGTAACACAAAATTCAGGTTTAGCCCTTTCAAGATCACCACCACTGTCAGTAATGATTGTTGTATAAAATAGGAATACTGGAATAGGAAGGAAATAGCATGAATTATTCCCCATTTGCTGTTAGTGCCTCGGCTCTGTGACTCTTGCATCTGCCCACTTGTTTCTGCAGGCTCTCACCTATCATTTTTTAACACATTAGTCAATTTTGGCCAAATTAAACAAGAAGAGACAAGGTCAGTATCTACAAATGAAATGCAAAGCAAGGGGTTGGGTGGAAGCAAGAGATGTAGATTCGCTAACTGTGTGAAGGAAGAGCTGTGCCCTTACGTTCTGTGGTGTTGATGGACACCGAAAGTCCTCCTACTAGGATCCCTGTGGTTATGTCTGGCTGTCAGTTCAGTACTGCTGAATTTCCCTGTCTGCTTCCAGGACTGCTTTGTAGAGTGAATTGCATTAACCTTCAGTTCATAGGTTAACACTTATTTCATCTTTATATTTTACTGGCTGAAAGATATTAATACTCTTCGATAGAAAAGAGCTCTTCAGAGAGCTGTTCAGATAGAATTAAGCGCTGTGTTGCTTTACAAAATTAATCAAGGCGATGCTGCTTCAGATGGAGGAGCAGACCACCCACATCTGTTTAATAGGAAACACATTTGACTCCTGCTTGTGTAGAGTGTGCTGCACAGAGCAGTGTGTGTGTGTGTGTGTGTGTGTGTTTGTGTCCATGTACTCCTGCACATCGTGCAGGTTGGGCCAGTTTCAGGCTTGGAGCCTGTCCTAGGGAATCTGCTGGTCACAGTCATTCACTCATGTTTTCACTTCTCGTTTGCCTTTAATGAAGATTTTAATAAAGAAGCACAGCATGCTTATGTTCCATCTTCCATCAGCATTGTCATGCTTTTACGTGTTGGAGGAAAGGTAAGAAGTTGCATCTCGCAGACAAGCTGTTAGCTCTGATATTTCTCGGCAGTGGGTCTGTCTTAGGAGATGCATCAGACTTTTGTCATTGCACAGAATGTTTCATATAAACATTGCTGTTACTCAGAGTGTGTTCTACAAATGCAGAACGCCTTTGCTATTTTTTCCACTTCAAAAAAGCTTTTTATACTTTTTAAATACTTTTTAGTCTTCGTTCTGCTTCCTAATCTCTTTAAGCTTGTTTTGCACTGTGTCTTCCTTTCGTTACCTGGGCTTCACATGTGTCTCATCTTGGAATATTGCCCTAGAATATATGGCATTTGTACAGTGGTACAACACAGTATTGCACATAACTGCAGCATGGATTGCTCCAAGTCCTGGTTCTGAGCAACTGGAGCCACGCAGCTCGGTGGTGGATTCCATCAGGATTGCTGATGCTTTCTGTTTAACCCATGCTTCTGTTTCTTTGTTACATAGGACGTTAACTAATTTTCCAAGCTGTAGCATTCAGAGAAGAAGTTGTGTGGTTTGTGTCCACACGGATGAGCTAATCTTGTGGTCCCTGGAAATACTTTTTGCCAACATTTTCTTCTCCTAGTAATAAATACTATGGAGCAGTTTGGAAATATGAACTCACTTCAGCCCGTTCCTTTGAGGACAGGGGTGTTATTAGATGTTGCAGTGCATTTCTTGACTGCCAGATCATGGTTTAGAGGTAGGACAAACTCCATTTTACAGTTCAAAGGGTTGAATGAAA